TTTTAAAAAAAAAAAAAAAAAAAAAAAAAAAAAAAAAAAAAAACCTGACTGAAAATCGAAAAAAAAAAAAAAATGATGATGATAATAATAATAATAATAAACTTTCTATTGTAAAGTTTTCGTGATCTGGTTTGTGCAAAGCAAAGAGCTGCGCTGCCTCTGCGCGCTCCACGGGCCCGCGCGCAGCGCCTGAGCGCGTTCACCTGAGCGGCCGGGCTGCGCTGCTCCGGGAGCGCTGCTGCTGTGCTGCTGCTGCTGCAAAGTTGGAGCAGAAGTTCCTCCTTTAATGGCCGCTCGCTAAGGTGGAAAGCCGCCTCGCAAGGACAGCGATCGACAGCCTTTGTGGGCTAAGCGAGCGTTAGCCGGTCGCTGATGGCTGAACAAAACTTGTGCTTTGTTAAAACACGCTGCTAAGTCCGAGGCGTGCTCGCCCCGCTCTAGCTTTTCTCCTGTGGTCGCCTTAAGAATCTTTGCGGGGCGGCCACGTTAGAGCCCTCTGCGCCTATTAGTAACACTCGATCGCCACGTTCCCACTTTTCGCCCTTTACGGATTTTTTTTGCTTTCTTCGCTACTACGGTTAGTTTTCTATAAGCGCGATGTTACTTACCCCGTCAGAGCTTGAATGGTTAACTCTTCCCAGCTTCTAAGAGCAACTACAGATTTGCACATTTACTGACCGGTTACATTGATGCCTTCCCTTAAAAGTTATAAAACAGTAAACTTTATAAGCCCCAGTTCCGGCTATATGACATTTGGGTGCCAAATGAATAGGGTTTTGTCTATGAATTAGATCGTAAAATCATCCATAGCACAGACAGATAGGCTCACTGGCTATAAAAAGTCACGTGGTGCCATTAAAGTAAGTTTTATGGTTTTGGGGAGTTGACATCCAACATTATATACCACATAACATATAATCTCACTGACGCTGGACTTCATTTGACTCTTTTGCAGGCTACGTGTGCCTCCTGGCCATTCACATTGTCACTTTTAGGTACAGAAGTATCCAAACCACAAGTTCTCAATACTGTGTGAAAAAATGGCTCCCTGCAAATCGAGGTAAGTTTTGTGCACAAGTTCCTTAAAGTTTCTCTGTGCCGGGGGAGCCGAGGCTCCTGCTCGCTCTTTCTCTTCCCTTTCCCCTCTTCCTGTGCCGAGGTTCGGGGCTGTCCCCCCGCCCGGGGCAGCGCACGCAGCCCCAGGTTGAGCGCAGTGCTGCGCAGTGCCCCAGCCCCGCTCCCGCGGCTGCCAGCGCTCTATTTTAGCGATCAAATCAAAGTAAACCACAATAAGCGACTTTGGCAGAGATGGATTTTGGGGCCTAGCTTTAATCACTTGGACTACCGCAGAAGATAATTACTTCCTTCGCTCCAATAGACTCTCCAAGTTTGGAGAGGTTTTGTTTAGCAAGGAGTACTTACTGCGGGCGATTAAAAAAAAAGGAAAACAAAGTAGATAGGGCTTGATACGATCTGGGCAGTGCCTTCAGTAGGCACGATAGGGGTGGAGGCGTGATGATATGGTAATCATCTTCGCATTGGTGAAATGTGTTGCACATCAGAGCAAGTATTAAAATGGCACGGAGCGTGCTGGAGTGCTTAAGATTCCTCTTTTCTGCACTGGGTCGTGTGGGAAGCTTTAGCTATGTAGCTAAGCCCATCCGCGAGTGTGTGCTGTGCTTCGGGTGTGTGCATTTATAACTCCACTGCAACTTCTTTTTTTAGTTTTTTTTTCCCCTCAGCTTCTATCTGTAAATATAAGAATATAAGTGCGTTCGAGTGATGCGCGTGTATGCATGCATGTTCCGATCTGTGTGTACCCCTGTGTAAATCCGAGCACATGCCTCTGTTCTTGTGCTATTGGTGTCTTTATGTGTACAAAGGGTGTGTATGTGTGTACACATATATACGTTCCAGAGCCCTTTTTTTTTTTTTTTTTTTTTTTTTAAGCAAACCAATTGAGTGTAACTCGTAGCATTAATACAAGAGACCACAGGTCATTAGAGTACTTCAAATTATGAAATACGGGCTTGGTTTATTGAAGATTGTAAATATCCCCAATGCTCTGCTCTCTCCCTCTGCCTTGTATTGCTGGCTGCCATTGTGGGGTAGGCCCCAGCTGCGTGTTTACTTCCACATTCTTTTTATTTAAGTGGACTGTTCTCACTAGAGTGTGATTACTCAGCAATAAACTTTATGGCCGGATTTAACTTCAGTCTTTGAATTTCCAGGACTTGAATGAAAGGGTGAAAGGAGCTCTGTCTCTCTTTGGTAGCTGCAAGGCCTGATCCTTACCCTCAGAACGAGTGATCTCAGGGGTGTGACGGACCGGTGGGGGCCGGGGCGGAGATCTGAGAACGAGCTCCTAAACGCGTCTGTACCCAACTTCGCTGTGAGAACCTCGTTCTCCGCTCGGGTTTGGAGTAGTAGGGATTCAACGCAATCCCCTCTGCAGATTGCATTGTTTTCCTCGATGTGTCATAAACTCGAGTTTCAAGAAGAACGGGGCGGCGTGATGGGAGATGGGAGTCAGGCTTTGATATTGCCCCTGCTATCCCATGGCCAGAGTGGTGCGGTGCGGTGCGGGCTCTGCGTGGCACTGAGAGCGGAAGGGGAGACGGGGCTGCTGGTGGGGCAGGTCGCTCTGGACCTCTGCAGGGTCTGCCCAAGGTCCACCACCAGCATTGCTGTGTCATTTCCCATCCATTCGCCTTAAATGTTAAAGAGACGCTCGCATCTAAGGTTGCAGCAGCTAAAAGATTTCACCGTTTTACAAATATTTAATATTTGGAGTCAACCCCCAGTGTAAGATAAATGAAGTCCCAAGCCTTTGTGTCTGCGGATCGCTCTGTGAGCACTAAACAAACACATATGCATATACTTTGTATTTAAAAAAAATAATAATAATAATGGGAAAGGCTTTAAAAGCACAGACCCAAATACACATTCGAAAATCATTTCCGTCATAAACAGCTGGGGATTTTATAGCTCGCTAGCTGTCAGCTTCATCAATAGGAATACCAGAAAGTTTTCTATGATAGGCGTGCACTAGATTATATTATACGCCATAAAAATTTTATAGTAGGAGGCAAAGGAATGCAAATGCTTTAAAAGTCTGTGCTCCTTTCATATGCGGGTCATTTTCCGTAGGAGAAACCTTTTCTTGTTACAGGGAACCATTCCGGGCGCAAACCGTTCCCGATTACTCAATACACAACAACACCGTGTTGCTTCAAGTGCCTGGTTAACACACAAACACGTCCACGCACACACCCGCTCAACTCCTGCTTTAGGAACCTGGATGCCATCTCGGGTTGTAATGGTCTGCAGCGAAAAGCTTTGCTCCTATTATTTTCACATTTCTGTATGCGGTTTCTAGAGCGCATTCTCGCAATGCTGTGGACAGAAATTCAAGAGCTATGGGAAAGGAAAAGATCACAAAAGCCCAAAAGCGTCTAAACCCGCCAGCACTGCAAGAAACTCTCTAACAACGAGAGAAACTTCGCTGGAAATGACAACTTCTCAGTAGATTCGGCCCTCCCCCGTCCGAAGCAGAAGAGCTGAAGTCACTGCAAACAAGGAGCGCGTTCAGATTTTGCAACCCGCTTTTAAAATTCGGAACTCAAGCGACTCCACACAGCCGAACTGTGCAGAAATATTCCCAGATCCTAATTGTTTTCGGAGTGAAAAATGTCACGGAGAATAATCGCCTGGAATCGAGAGATAGAGCTCTTATCTTCTTATCTGAGCTCTTTTTTTTTTTTTTTTTTTTTTTTTCTTTGGCGCTGTGTTTTGGGGATTAATGCGTGCGAGTTTGTTTTAGTTTAGGCACAGCAAGTGGCGTTCAGAGCACTGAAATACAGTTTACTTAAGCCTTTGAAAGAAATACTTGAGTATAGTGTGTCATGTCCAAGCGTAGGGCCAATTAAAGATTAGGCAACCCTCTTAATGTGGGTAGCCAGTGACTTTGGAAGCCATAACTTTCTCTAAACCAGAAGTGTAACAATTCGCTTGAAAGTCATCCGTAAATTACAGCTCCGCTGCGCTTTCTAACCCCTGCAAACGCCCTAATTGCAGAACATTACAGGGAAATTTTGATTCTGCCATTTCCTTACAGTTAATAAGTGTGTATCTGTGGAAGGGTGACAAAAGAAGGGTTTGCAATCTGCTCCATGGGAAATTGAATGGAACAGATCGCGAGGGGCGGATCGGGAGGTTTCGATTTCAAACCCTGAATACTGGAGCAATGCCTTTTCCCTCCCCGCAAATACAGATTTAACGCATTAGCTGCACACACAAGTAAATCTCCTCACCAAGTGAAACCATCGCTTCGCTTTCTCACCTTTCCCTTCCTGCCCCCCAAATATCCCCGATTTATTGTTAGATAAGCGCAAAAGAACACAGCTCCCACTGTCACCTGATCATCTTCGAAAATATTACCCCTTTTAAATGAAAGCATCCTCACTAACGTCTCTCTGGAAGGCAAATACTCATGGACCGTCGCAGTCACATGCTCGTGGGGCTGCACGCACAAACGACATCGAATCTTATACAAAGGGAGTGTAAAATTCGCGAGGATTTCGCTTTATGGCACACGTAAGGAATCTTTCCTGCAACCCCCCCAAAAATGGCTTTTCAATAATAATATTTGCTATGAAGGTTATTGGGTAATTATTGCAATTTTGTGGAACAGTCCTTGCTTGAGGTGAAGTCTGTCTGCGGATAACAAATGGCAGCCCGTGCAGTTCACTGCCAGGTTAAGTAAATGCAGAAAAGATAAATCTGCACACCCTAGGAATCACCAGCAGAGCTCGCTTTAGACCAAGTTCACAGTCAACTCGTTTGCCTAGACAAGGCTTCGCAAACAATTAGAGTTGTTTCTTTATGCTTAAATCAAGGAGAAATGACTAAGACCCTCGCAGCAGAGATCTGCAGCTTTTCCCCCAACGCCGGTCCTTACGTCCTTCCAACCTCACGCCCAGAACTTACCCAGCATTTCACCTGCAATTGTAACCAAATTGCGCCTTAGAGTACAGGCTTCCCTCCAACGCTGCCGAAAGGCTGTGCAAACTGAATTAACAGCACTTTACAAAGCTGCCAGATTAAAGAAGAAGAAGAAGAAGGAAAGAAAAAAAAAAAAAAGCAATAATTAAAAATGCAAAAGTATCCGATTTCTCATCAGCCAGAAGAAGGAGGAAAAAAAAAAAAAAAAAAAAAAATTTAAAAAGCGGGGGGGAACGGCAGAACTATTGAAACAAACACTGCGAGTCTCTTACTCCTAAAAGAAGCTGCATAGCTTTTGTATATCTTTGTGGTTAAGGGCGTTACAACTGCAGGTCAAAAAGTTGAGGGTCAAAAGTTTACGTTTTGCACCACTCTTAGTCATTCGTCCAGACAGAGTTTGATGTCAATGTTATAGCCGAGATCTTGACTATCAGCACAAAAGATAAAATAGCTTTGAGTTACGTGTGTATCACAGTATGGACTCCAGGTGAACCCTACTGGCTGAATGACCTCAATTACCAAGGAAAGGATAGAAAATTCCTCTTTTGAAGAGTAATGCACGTTGTATTTCATCTTGAATTATCGGTCACATTTGTGTCTGAATATCTCGGGCTCAGCGCGGCAGGTAAACACGCGTGTCCCCCCACCCCAGAGCCGCCGCCGCCTCCCGGGGCCGGGGAGCGAAACGTTTCCCCTTGTTTATTATATCATAACCTGCTTTAAGAGGTTTAACGTTAAGCTTCCTCACTTTGCCAAACGGCAGGAAGATAAGATAGGAGCGGGGCAATTAACGCGCGTATCCATCCCCGCCGCGGCTTTGTTTTTGGCTCTCGTTCCTGTAACGCCATCTGAACCGCTCTTAACCGGGGCAGGACGCGGCCGTGCCGATGCGGGAGGGCTGTGCGGAGCGTTCCGGCCGCAGGAGCGCGGTGACGGCGCGGGGCTGCGGGGCCGCCTTCTGCAACCGCTGGAATACGGTGCTGGCTGCCAGAGCCGCGATTTGGATGGAGCTCCGAGCCTTCTGGAATTACCCGTCTCTTCCCAGAGGGATGGGGAGAGGCGAGGGTTGGTTTGCTTTCTCTCCTCAGCTAAAAAAAAAAAAAAAAAAAAAAAAAAAAAAAAAGAATTTGGTGGAATTTTAGGGGAATTTCTTTGCGCTGAGTTATTTCCACGTTGCTGGCGTTTTGTTTTGTTCTCAGCGCTCGCGTCGGTGTCGAAGCCTTAGCCTAAAGATCTCGGCCGGGCGTGTCTGTGAGGAGAAGGGGCCGGAATCTCATGTGAGGACGGAGGGAGAGGAGACCACTGCAAATGGCAGGTTGCAGTGATGGGGATGAGGGGTGGCTGGGAGAGGGAAAGAACGTTCCGAAATATCCGCTAGCAGCTATGAAAGGTATGGAGGAGGGGACAGTGCCACGAGGAAGGAAGTCAGAGGAAGAGCGCACCTCACCACCATCCGTGCATAGCTGCCTTTCGAGCCCAAAGGCGGGAGCCTGTGCCGTCCTCCACGCACGGGCTAAGCGTGAATTATTTGCCAGGGACACAGCTGGACCGTGGCAGTCGGACGATACTTCTTGGGAACACGTGCGCGTGGTGTGAGATTTCAGATCAGCCCGACTTATTGCTGGAGGCTTTGCCCGCTGTACCTGCCGGAGCGCAGCAAGGTGTGCGAGCATTTGCTCGGCGTGGGGACGTTGTTCCCGAGCTCCTGCTGCTGATCCCTTACAGCGAGCCCTGGCACTGCCCATTTGGAGAGCCTTCCCTCACCGCAGATATTGTTTAACCTTTCACATCTAAAGTATTTATTTGGTGTAAGAGAGAAGCCTGATAACAAGCTAAAAGCCGTGGCCGAATATCTATTTTGCTAAAGAATAGCGGGCAGATTGTTTCCAAGAACAACAATGCGTCTTTGATACACCCAGAACGAAAGCGGCTACTATAACTGGGTTACTCAAGAGTAGGTGACGGAAATCCGTTTGCTTCCTTACCAAAACAATTAGCCACTCGGATTCCATGTTTTTCAGTCTAGCCTAGGATAAAAATATCATTGAGAATATTTTCAAAGAAGTTGAAACTTCGGCTTCGGGAAATACCGAATCTTTCGAATTGGTGTCTGAATTATTCCCTTAAAATAAATATAATAAGAGGGGAAAAAATGAATTATTTGAGGCGAGCTCTTTCTTCCCTTCGGCTCTTTGCTTTACGGCACGCCGCTCTCCGGCGTGGAAGCTCCGGCCCAAAGACCATTCATTTAAAATCCGGGCGCAAATCACGTTTTACGTGTGTTTATTTAACCACGGCGGGACACAGCGAGCACGGCCGCCAAACACGGCGTTGTTGGGAGCAGAGCCGCTGCCGGGGGAGTCCCCGCTTCTACACAACGCTGAACTTGGGGCCCAACGGGCTCGTCCCCCCAATAGCGCCCGCTCGGAGCGAGCTGCGCGCTCGCGGAAGGAGGAGGCTGCCCCGGGGCAGTGCGATCTCCGGGAACAAAGGGGGGGGGAATACAGTCGATACATTCCATAACGTTTACATTTTCCCGCGATTTTTTTCTTAATTTTCCCTTAGAAGTGGTGACCTGGGCAAAGCACCCCGCTATCTAAAAGGCGCTGTTTAGAAGCGCCTTTAGAAGACCTTTTAGAAAAACTAAGTCCAAGGCCGAGGTGAACTTCAGGTCACCGCGTCTAACAAATATGAAAATGTCGCCTGGTGAAGGGCACGCCTTGTTATTTAACAAAGACTGTCAATGTGTAAGATTAATAAGAAACAAAATGCACACGGTGTCACTTTTCGGTCACTTTGAAACTCGGGACAGCCTCGCATTCAAGAGGGGAAAGCTGGGGCTAAATATATTCAAAATGGTTCAAATCAAATTCAACCCAGCCTGCGGGTGCGATCCTTCCTCCTCCTGCCCTTCTCTGTGGTGGGTGCCCGGGCACGGCGAAAGGTTGTCTTCTATTATTATTATCATTGTTGTTGTTATTATTATTACTCTCCTTGTTCTTATCTTCTCTTTTGTAATCCATACGGTTTAGCCGCGGGCGCGGAGGGGAACGAGGTGTTTGCATGCTTCTCGAGAGAAAGGGGAACCCCCTCACCCCCTCTTTGCGTACTCATGAAGCTTCTCTCCTCGGTGCACGGCAATTAACTCTCTTACTCTCAACTTAATTCCAGTGCAGTCCCCATCTCCTCCTCGGCCGGGAGCCCCCAGCTTCAACATCGCTGATTAAAGGCTCCTTCCGCAGCTAACAGAGCCCCTGGCTCCTCTGTAAAAATAAGGGACCCGGCCTATTTTCCCTCTCCTTTTCTTTCTTTGAGAGGTTAGGATGATGCTACAAGTTTGCAAAGGGAAGTACCAGGGAGGGAAAAAAAAAAAAAAGAAGGGAAAGAAAGAAAAAAAAAAAAGGGTTTCAGAGATTGTTTATTACAGCCATAAATCTTGCAGTAAAATGTCGAAACGGCCGTGTGCAAGATAACACTTGGTGGTCTTGGCTGGGTTCTTGTTTATGATAACAAAACCACAAAGACATGGAACAGGCCTTTTGGAGGTCCTGCCTCAGCACATCTCCGCAGCCTGATAGAACCCCGCAGAAACAGGCTGAGCCCGGCACCTCGGGTCACCTTGCAGATTTACGGTCGCACACAGAACCGCATCCTTCTCCGTCCTACCCAGCGCCAGAGCCACACGGTAGAGAGGTGCAGCGAAACGAGTGATCTACGAGATCTAATCGCGGTAAATAATAGGAAGCAGAATCCGCTCAGCTCGCCGGCACAAAGCTGAGCCTACAAATCGGGACAGTGGTTTTCGTTGCGTTTTCTCGTGCCTCGTGAGCACGGAGCCTGGTGTTCCGAGCTAGCCATAGAGCCTCCGGAATTGCCTTATGGCGAGGATAACGTGCCCGGCACCGCAGGGCAATGCATCTGGTGGCGGCCAGCAGGTATTTGTGCGTGCGTGCAGCTCTGCGCCGGGAACGTGCTTTGGGCTTTGGCAATCTTTTTCTTTCTTTCTTTCTCTCTCTCTCTCTCTCTCTCTTTTTTTTTTTTTTAAGGTAATGCAGGTGGAAGCTCTTATTTTCCAATCTGGGTTGCCGTGTTGTTGTTATTTTTAATAAAGCAATCTCCTCGTTTCTGCCCAAAGTGTGCGGCTGCATCTGTGTGCGTGTGTAACCGCATTTCCTCTCCACGCAAAGTAAATAGAGGAACTTATCTGTTACCCCCAGTTAAAGAGTTCCATAGATGTTCTGTTGGAAATGAGTAAGTAAATGTGTTTTAACTCTCTTTACAAATTAGCCATTCGATATGAGCAGGAAATGAGTGATTGTTTAGATAAGTAGTCCAGTATGCCCAAGTGCTGCAAATGTTCGAACATCTTATGATCCGCCTGCAATGTGCGTGTGTCCGTGTGTGTCAAATACAGATCGATACTCCGTGCGCCTACTTGGGTAGAATAGAGCTTCAAATGGAAGTACACGTTCCCATTATCTATAAAACGGCTAAAGACAATAATCTGAATTTCAAGCAGAGTAGCTGTTAATGTCCTATCTTTAGGAGGGCGAGATCTAAAACGCGTCGTACTTAAGCCTGATGTATTAGATGCATTTTCCCACACCGGAGAGTGAGATTACCCGCTCTGCAATTATATTCTCAAAGGATGCAGTAAACATTTCTGTGGGTATATACGCTCTCCTGTAAAGGGAAAAAAAAAAAAATAAAAAAAAAATCGGATAAGTTTGCTTCTAACTTCCTATCTGCAAGAGTAGATGGCGTTCGATAGTATTTTTTCCCCTTAGAATAAGAGCGTAATTAGTTTAACCATCAAATTTCAATTACCTAAGGTCAGGGCGGGTGCCTCTTTTCCCTGTGAGCTGAAAATATCTTTAACAGTCTCAGTTCCAGCAACGCAGCAGTGGCCGGGTGCCCTTTCCCTCCCTCGCCAGGCGTTCTGCAAAGGCGACAAAGATTTCTCTTGGAACTGAGAGTTCAGAAATTGAGCCAGCACCAGGCAAGCGAAGAGAGAGTCTTACATTCGTAGCTGGAAAACGCAGCTCTGCGGGGAGGGATGTTCGCAGAGAGCCCCGCGGCAGCCGGTAGGAAGCGTTTATAGCACTGCGCCGCTCTCCCTCTCCTACCCGTTATTCCCTGCTCCCCGTGTCCCCCGCACCCCACAGTACACGGAGGGGCTCCCCTCGGCCTTCCCGCGACGTCCGCGCTAACTTTGGGATCTGCTCCTCCGGCAAGCAGGCTGCAGGGGGACGGGAGCTGCCGGCTCTCGGCTCGGGGAGAGGTCGCAGAGAAGGGAGGGGGTGAGGCGACCTCCACCCCGCAGCCCCGATGGAAGGTGTTGGGTGATGGGTGCGTGGAGAGTTATTGTGCAACTCCCCACTCAGCGCCTGCCTCCCTTCTCGGGCTGCGTTCTGCTTCCCCTGCCCGCTTTCTGACACGAAAGGAAGAAAAAAAAAAAAAAAGAAAGAAAGGAAAAAAAAAAAAAAAACAGACTAGTGTGAGGACTGTCAGTTCTGGATTAGTTTTATCTCTCTTGACACCGCGAGTGCCGGTCGCAGCCCGGGCGAGAGGAGGCGGCGATGCCATTGAGCAGCGGGCACCGGGAGCGGCGAGGCCCGGGGAGGAGGCGCCGGGAGCGGCCCCGCAGTGGGGCCGTGGGCGCGGAGGTGCCCTACGGCCGCTCTCCCTCCTTCCATTTCCTGATCCGGGGTCCGCGGCCCCGCGCGGTAATTGGCGCTGGCGGTCAGGTGGTGATGGTGTGTCGGGGTGCGTGCGTGTGTGTGTGTGTGTGTGCGCGTTGTGCGCGCTCCAGGGGTGGGAAGAGAGGAAGGGAGGGGAGTGTGGCGGGGAGGGGGAAGCCGGAGGCCCAAACTTTGGCAGCGGCGAGCACTTGACAGCGGCGGGAGGGGGAGAGGGAGGGAGTGGAAGGAGGGGGCGCCGCCGCGCCCCCGGGCCGGGGCCTCGCCGAGCCCAGAAAAACGACAACGCGAGAAAAATTAGTATTTTTGCACTTCACAAATTAATGACCATGAGTTCGTTTTTGATAAACTCCAACTACATCGAGCCCAAATTCCCTCCCTGCGAGGAGTACACGCAGCACAGCGGCAGCGCCGGCAGCTCCACCAGCTACCACCCGCACCACCCGCACCCGCACGCCCCACCACCGCCGCCTCCGCCGCCGCCGCCGCACCTGCACGCCGCGCACCCGGGTCCCGCTCTGCCCGAGTACTTCCCTCGGCCCCGCCGGGAACCCGGCTACCAGGCTCCCGCCGCGCCGCCGGGGCCGCCGGGGCCGCCTCCCGAGGCGCTGTACCCGGCGCAGGCACCCTCTTATCCCCAGGCGCCCTACAGCTACAGCAGCGCCGGCAGCGCAGCCCCGGGCCCCGAGCAGCCGCCCCCGGGCGCCTCTCCGCCGCCGCCGCCGCCCTCCAAGGGCCACCCCGGGCCGACCCAGCCCCTGCTCCCCGGCCATGCCCTGCAGCGCCGCTGCGAAGCGGCCCCCGCCGCCGGGGCCGGCACCGGGCCGGGCTGCGCGTTGCTGCCCGACAAGAGCCTGCCCGGGCTGAAGGGGAAGGAGCCGGTGGTGTACCCCTGGATGAAGAAGATCCACGTGAGCACGGGTGAGTCGCCCGGGGCAGGGGGAGGCCGGGATGCGCCTGCAAGGAGGGAAGGGGGGGAGGGAGCTGCTGGGGCCGGGATGGGCCGGTGCGTGTGTGGCTTTTTTTTTTTTTTTTTCCCCCCCCCCCGTTTCCTAATTAAAAAAAAAAAAAAAAAAAAAAAAAAAAAAAAAAAAAAGTGAGAAACCTTTTGTATCCGGGGTCCTTTATCAAAAGATTTACGAGACGCCAAACTGTTAGGGCAGTAATTATAGCCCCCATAAATTTAATTGCCCTTCAGTGGCTCTGGGCCATGTGTCTTTGAAGCTTTTCTTCTAACCCAAATGCCCATCACCATTTTTTATTGCTCCTCGATTGTCCCCGCTGCCGATAGGCTGTGAAACAATTTTTCTTGCCGTTATGTATCTGATTTGAACCCGGTGTCAAGTTATCCTCTAATGACGATGTTCCATCGCTCCCTCCCTTCTCTCCTCTCCGCGTGGCCGTGGGTGCACGTTCAGTCAACCCCAACTACAGCGGCGGGGAGCCCAAGCGGTCCCGCACCGCCTACACCCGACAGCAGGTCCTGGAGCTGGAGAAGGAGTTCCACTTCAACCGCTACCTGACCAGGAGGCGACGCATCGAGATCGCGCACACTCTGTGCCTCTCCGAGCGCCAGGTCAAGATCTGGTTCCAGAACCGGCGCATGAAGTGGAAGAAGGACCACAAGCTGCCCAACACCAAGATGCGCTCCTCCAACCAGCCCTCGCTCGGCCAGCAGCAGGCCAAGGCACAGACACAGGGCCACCCCCGCCCGCTCGACGGGGCTGCGCCCAACGCGGCCGCGCTATAAGGGGGTTATCGTTTTTGTTTTTGTTTTTGTTTTTTTAATATATAGATCTCTATTTACCTATCTATTGGGGTTGTGCGGCCACCCGCACTGACGGCTGGCCCTTGGGACCACGCAACTGTGTAAAACAAAGCAGGAGCAGGGAAGGAGGACGAGACGTGCCCAGGGACGGGCACACGTTGAAACCAAAACCCGGACGATTGCCTACATTGTATATAGATAATTGTTCCATGCCCATCATTTTTTTTCTATTTATGGAAACCCTCTCTTGCCCTCGCTGTAAGAGTGCTGGATGCTGTCACGGACGAATTCTCCGTACCTATGACGGACTCTTTTTTTTTTAATTTTAAATAGAGAACACTTTACAAAATAAAAGACGGTTCAAAAAAAGCCAGGAGCTCGGGGGACGCCCGCCCGAGGCAGTGACTCGAGTGGCGTAGGACGAGCGTGGCCGTGAGGGGCGAACACGGACCCACGAGGCACAGAGCGGACATGTTCACCTCGGGTTAGAAACTCATGGGAAGCGTCCCCTCCCGCCGTGTTGGTGTACCGGCGCTAACTTAGCTGGGTTTCGGTGTAGCCCCGCAGTAGCTGTGATATGAGTTTTTCTCCACATTCCCAATTGCATTTATTTAAAAAGAAAGAAAGAAAAAAAAAAAAAAAAAAAAAAAAAAAAAAAGCTATAAAGGCTGTGGCTGTCTTCATATTTGGCACCGTCTAAATCGTTTGGGTCCATGTACAATTTGTGGATTTTTGGTGTAATGTATACAGTGCCAGATGCTGGTAATAAAGATTATTCTGTACAAAAAAATTAAACGCTTGAAACACACACGCGTCCACTCCGTGCTGTTTCGTGCACCTTGTGCTCCGCCGCTCTCGGCACCAGGAGTGGAAAACAATGGCCTAACGTGTTGGTGTAACTTAGGATTCGTTTTGTCAATACGGTTATGGTTGCTTAAATGTAGCACAAAGCGTCCCCCGTCCCAACTGCCGTCTGCGAGGAGAGCGCTGCGGGACGGGGAAAGCTGTCTGTACCGCACAGCGAGCCGGGTTCTCTGTAGAACTCGGGGCAGAACCGACCCGGTCCATCGCAGGGCTCTGGGCTCGTGTGCACCGCGCTACAGAGAGACTGAGCTGCTGCTGGGAGCCAATGAGCTCCCATGGCGGACTGTGCTGGAGGAGAAGTCCCACATGCTCGCCACGATAACACTGTAAATCTGTAGCCGGCCGTGATTTATTCGTCCGTTTTCTTCCTATTGTGATTCCTCAACTGGCAGCACTTCTGAAGGGAAATACATGGGCGGTAACCTAAAGTTACTCTAGCTGCCTCCTTCTCTTCCTTTCCCTTCCTTTCTCTTCCTTTCTCTTCCTTTCTCCTTTTCTCTTCCTTTCTCCCTTTCTTCCTTTCTTCCTTTCTACCTTCCTTTCTTCCTTTCTTCCTTTCTCCCTTTCTCCCTTTCTTCCTTTCTTCCTTTCTCCCTTTCTTCCTTTCTTTCCTTCCTTCTTTCCTTCTTCTTTCCTTCTTTCTTCATTTTAAAGACAGTTTCGAACTGTATTGATAGAGCCTTACCAGTGACACGAAACAGGGCACAGCTCAGATGTTTATCTGACCGAGGTTCTTCACGACGAGGACAAAATGGGGTGCGAGGGGAGGCGGCTCCTCGCTGCCCCCGAAAGCTTTCTCAGCCTGAGAGATGGTAGCACAGGTATGGAAAGGAACTCCAGTGCTGTACCTCTCCCAGAGAAGGGCCGGAGGCCAGGCCTCAGATACTTACCGCATCCATCCGACAGGGATTTGGGATCCCACCGTCAGAGGCCGGTGCCCATCGGCCCGGGGGTGCAACCGGTGGGACCCCGCAAGCATTGCTGCTGGCCCGAGGAGCGTGGAGCGCCTCGGTAAGAAATGTAACGTTTCACTGGCGGGAGTATGCTCAGCACAGCAGATACGGAGTTGTAAACACGCTGAGCAAACACTGCTGACTCCGAGCCTGGCCAACGAGCAGGCCCTGGGAGCGCTCCCACTCAGTGCTGTGTGCTGAGCCCCACGTCGCAGCCGCCTCCTCCTAGAGGGAGAGGGATACAGCTGGAAGCGGGCAGCCGCTATCTGCGGGCGTGCAGCTTCTCGTTTTGTTTATTGCTCGAATCCCTTCGCGTATCTCGAGCCAAAATTAGCACAAGCGAGCACAACTCCAGCTGAAACGTATTAACTGGCAGCGCGGGGTTGCTTTGGTGTGCAGCCTGTGCATATAAACCTGGTTTGTCCCACTGAAAAGAGAAATGAAATCACGCTGCAAATAGCATTTTTAGAGAGAACCATTAATCACCTCCTACAATAAATACTTCTTTGTAATTCAACAGCGGTTCTGAAAGGCATTCTCTTGGAAAAGTCTGTGAAGACGCAAAGGATTTTCCTGGAAAGAAAAAAAAAAAAAAAAAAAAAAAAAAGAGTGGTCATGTGTAAAGACACCGCATCTCGGCTGTCTGCTAAAAACATGCACACTCTGTCGGTGGAGATAGAGCGGCGGACTGCAAAATGCCCCACGGCCGATTTTCGTCGTTTAAGGTAAATCTTCCTTTTTCTCCCTTCCCCCGCCCCGGTCCTCTGGGAGCTGCGCGATGCTGCCGGGCCGGGAGCCCTCCGCTCCCGCTTCCATCCCACCCGGCTTACAATAACTTCCAAAATTACGTCGTCCGCCTTAAATTCTCGCATTGTGCTCCCTTTGCTAGGGCAACCAGGAGTTCACAGAGAGGACAAATTTTCTATCCCATTAATTGTTTTTTTTAGAGGAGCAGACTGACCCTTCAAACCCTTGACCTTTAAAGACAGTATTCTTTCTAAGCTGGAGCTCGGACCGCAATGTCTCTTTCTCTCCCTCCCTCTCCCTCTCTCTCCCCTGTCTCTCACACACGTATTTATCTGCTCTCGCCACAAAGGCGAGAGCGGCCCAAAACGCCGCAAGTGGAAGTTTGTCAATATCTCAAAGAAAGACAAAATCACCTCGGAGTCAATTTAATGGCCGCAGGGAACACCACGCCGTTAACCTCGCTCCCCACCTCCCCTCCACCCACCAAGAAAAATGGGAGTTTGCCAAGGTCTCCTTCCCCATTCTCCCGCAATCTCTGCTATACCTGGTGTTTTATTACAGGGGGAACTCGACTGTGACAAGCGCCTCGTGGTATTTAATAACTAGAGCCATTCTGCGTTGGAGGATTACTCAATCCTGTGATTTTTTTTTTTTAACTATATATTTTTTTCAGGGTACTGTCGTCCAACGGACCGTTTTTCGGTGTTAATAACAGTGCAGGGATGGGGGGAGCCCTCACACAGGCAGAGGTTTGACAGAGAGATCTCGGCCCCCCTCCCTCCCCCCCGGGGCCACGCACCGGGACCCTATCCGGGCAGCTCTGTCCCTCCGCTGCCCCCACAGTTCCCCTTAACCCCTCGGTCAAGAGAGGGCGCGGGCCGGGACCGCAACCTCCCGGGAGCGGCGCTCCACATGGAGGTCTCCCGGGGCCGTCCCCTCGGGCTAACCCTGCCCACGCTGGTCCGAGGTCCTGGACTCCCATCGTGGGTAGGGGGAGCTCCACCATCCCCCCCCACCTCAACCCCCGCCGCGCCCAGGAGCCTTCCTGGCCCCGCCCGGGACCGTGCGAAGGGAGATTGTCCCTCGTTGGAAGGTAGCCGGGGGGCTTCGGGGGGGGACGACACCCCCCCAGTACTCCCATTGCCAGCAACATCCAGCCCCCCATCACCCCCGCACTACTGCACACTGCCCCGCGCACCGAGGCTCTGGGATCGGCTGGCTGCTGTGTGTGTGTGTTTGGGGGGGTGCTGCGGGGCTGCTCCGTCCCGCCAAGGAGCGGGACGAGCCCATATTATTCATGTCCCAGCGCTCTACCTAGAAACTGAGGAGCTGTCAAAGGCAGCAGAGATAGGGGACTGAGTACAGGATCCCTGCGCTCGCAGATAAAGGTGTTGCGTCTGTTCTGGGGGAGATATTGAAATTTTAATCTTTAGGGTCACGTGACTCATTAAATAATTAATGCAGATAGTCAGGAATGGATCTGTGGCCGTCAGTCCTCACTAGGAGTCATTCTCTCACAAGTGAAACTCAACTCCTTATTACTGGAGTTTGTTTTTCTTTCTTTCTTTCTTTCTTTCTTTCTTTCTTTCTTTCTTTCTTT